CTCATCCAACACGAAGAAGCTGAAGACGTTATAAAATTAGTAGGTAAGGTCAGTATCTGAGCTATCGATATGAACTGTGCGGATTTAACTTTCGTTGGCACATTATTCACACATTCAAATAAAAGTATAAAAGTTTATTACTCACCCCTTATCCACAGCTTCCGAAAACCAAGGATCACAGTTTCTATTAATGAAAGGATGTGCCCAAATTGTGACACGGTATCCCAAAGCCTTGAGGTCCTGCACGGTTTGCCTGAAGTCAGGGAATTTCTCCTCATTCACCACAAGAGAGCCATAGCACGTCTCCCACTGGTCATCAATCTCAAACTGAGAGTTGTTGAAACCATTGTCCCTAATTTGTTGAGCAAAGTCTAGGAGCTTTGTCTCGTTGATCTCTCTGGAGTATTGGGCCCAAGTAGACCAGATTGGATGCTGAACCATTTGGAAGTCTGGAGTTCCTGAGGGCTTGCCAAGATAGTTGGCAATGGCGTGTTTGTGAGCTGCTTTGACGTCTGACAAAAACCATATATCGTAAGCTAATATAGTACGTGGTCTGTTTGTGGAGTAGGGTCCTGCTAGTTGGGCTCCGAAGCATATATGGTTGTTCAAAATGTTCTTGTAGTCCACGAAGAGTGGGATCTTGTCGTGGACAATGACGTACTCTCCTGCGGAGTTGAGCCAGTACCTCTCCATGATAGCACCATTGTCGGTTTCTTGAATGTAGCTTGGCCTGTAGACTTGTGTCGCAGTTTCGATTGGATAGACCTGGTCCACTTGCATAGGTCCCGCATACCAATGTTTTGTCCCTGGAATCAAAGAAAATGTTCACATTATTTTTCAGATTTCGATGTTAACAAATAAAGATAATGGGTTCTTTGTGTCAATTTGCCGAAAGTGTTAAGTAACTATGATAACTGTATATTCAAATCTTTAGGGGAAAAAATCAATCAATCTGTCAATATAAACAGCTCCTCTTAAGAAGTACAAGTATCGGAAGATAAGATTATTGTGCTTACCGAAATCGATGCAGTCCTCTAGTCTGGTGTACTGATCAGCTTCCCAGCTGAACTTGATGCCCCTAGCCTGGGTCGCAGCCTCGTACAAGGTGTTGATAGTGAGGTTCACATTGCCAATCCTGACCAGTAAACCACCTTCTACGTCAGTTACTGTGAATGGAGCTGCTAACGTGCGCCCGACCTGACCGAACACCTCACGCTGGTTTTCTAGAGCAGAAATATAAAAGGGATTTTGCAGAAATGGAAACCTTTGTCAGGACGATGGAAAGTGAGCAAGATGAATGTGTTGAGATACTGATTATTCTGCAAAGATGCTTCTGGCAGGTTTGATACTTTAGTGTTCAGGTATCTTAAGCGTAGAAAAGCTTTTAGTTCTCGAAGTCTCGCCTTCAAGGGATTACAAGTCTTTGATTACCATCATGATAATCAAAAGACAATGTGCCATTACTTGACATCATTAACGTACGAACAAAGCAATAAATTGTATTTAGCGCCGTGTCTTATCAATCTTGTAATTTGCTTAAATTAGAATATATTTTGCATCCACCATAATCCGACCTTGGAAGGTCTCTGTATCTTAGTTTGTTTAGATGTTATGATACTGATTGATTTATTTTGTTGTTCCTATTGCGGATTAAGTTTTTCTGAATTCGATTTTCAAAATCTACTTTTTCTTTAGAAGATTTATTTGTTAAGTGGTATGACAGTATCACAGATTCTTAAAATCAAGGTTCAGAACTTCATATCAAATACCTATAAGGCAATTAAATCTTAAACTTCAGTATGAACTCACCTTCAGTCAAGACGAGGTGGAATCCTCCAGTGAGGATCGGCTCCAAAGTGAGTGTGACGTCATCAGCGCGTACAGAGGGCGCCTCTGTTATTGCAGCTGTGTGCGCGCGCGCACCTAGCGTTAGAAAGACTGGAAAATAGAAATAAGTCTTTAAGGTTTGTTTTCTTTTTGAATTGCCTCTCCATAAAAGATGGAAAAGATTGTATATTGTATTACATAATATCCCATTATGGCTGTCTCAGATTTCCTACTTTTTTGAAGGTCATCTCAACGTATCAAGTTTTCTACTGTAGCATTTTCAACCATTTCAGCCTTAACTATTCAGAATTATTTGCCTAGTTCTGTCAGTTTCTCGATCACAGTTGAACCGTAGTCTTAAAGTCCTAAACATGACGATAACACTTCTGAAAGATGTAAGATCGAAAGGAGGATTTAAGGTTTTGAGACTTACATAAAAATGCCCTAAGAGCCGCCATCACGTCCCACCAATGAGTATCGACTGCGGTTTTTCTTGACATTATCTTTATCTCAATCGATATCTTGACATCTCTATCATCTTACGACACTATCGCTTGCTATTGAGCTTAAATCATTTTTTAGATAATTCTCGAATTTGACTTCTGTGACTCATGGCAACAGGGTGAAGTTGTTTTTGTTGTTGTGGGGAATTAAGTCCACCCTGATAGTAATTTAACCTAATGACCTACTAATGAAAGCAGTGACGAGACAAACAATAGATTCTATAAGATCACTTGATGCTTAGCAATTGAAAATAGTTCTTTCTTTTAATGTGATCTTATAGACTGTGTTGGTCTTAGTTGGCAAGTCCGAAGTAACTATTTTCAATTGATGCTTAGTTTGTGAAAATGTGGATAATCTGTATAGATTTTGGTTAGGTACTTAGCCGTTAGCCGAGTGTTCGCAAGTTCGACTGCTGGGCTAAGAGTCTCGGATTCGATTCCCGGGTCGGGAAAAGTATTAATGGGTTTTTAAAATATTCTCAGTAGTAACACGGAGTCTAGAATTGTGCCCTCACCCTGTTACATGGGACACATAAAATAAATACTGAAAAGTGGGTGTTGTGGGTCTGTGGTGTGGTGTGTACTGTACCCACAAAGATACAGAAACATTAAGTGCCGTAATATGCACATCTTTCTACCCCTTCAGAGATAAAAGACGTGATGATATTGTACAAAGGTTTTTTTTATGAATTTAACCAATTTTTATGAATTAAATTGCACCCCGGTTGGTAGCGGCAGATGACAGTCGCATTGAAAAACTGATATTCAGACTAAACTAAACTAGATAAGACCTTGATGGAGACTAATAAATAAATACAGAAACTCACCCCCTTTTACTTGGAACTCATGACATCAATAGTGAAAAGTGGATGTTACATTGTACAGTGGCATTAAGAGCGTACGGCTAAGAAGCGGAATTCTTTGCTAGAGTCTGTATTTCCTGAAAGGTATAACCTGGGTGTCTTCAAGGCCCGAGTGAATAGGTTGCTTATGGGACGACGTGCTCCATCGTAGACCGCATCATCGTGCACCACCAGGCGAGATAGAGGTCAAACGTCGGCCCATCAAATATAAAAAAATGTGTCGTAATGTGCACCTCTGCCTACCCCTTCGGAGATAAAAGGTGTGATGTTATGTTTATGAGGAACTATCTACTGGTGGCTTACTATACTCAGTAGGTGCTATAGATGTTTACGATTAGCCTTTGATTCTTATTGACATATTTGTTTGGTCAAAGATAATCTCTTCCTTTTGCCGGTTGTTATCGACGCTATCTTTTGTTCAAGTAGTCTGTCATATGTCTCGACTTATCAAGAGTAACGTCAAATGTCTACCTACTGTATTATGATTAAGGGTTTTTCTCCATTTTGTTCTGAGTACGTAGGTACCTAGTAGGTACAGACGACAGCAGGTCAGCATATACCGACGACGTGAAGCAACGCTTGCGTTGTGTTTCGTCGTGTGAGTGAGGTTACCGGAGGCCCAATTACCCTCCTCTTCCTCAATCTCCCAATTTCCTGAATCCCCAACGATCCTCAAACTCCTAATCCCCAAAAGGCCGGAAACGCACTTGTAAGTCTTGTAACGCCTCTGGTGTTCCAGGTGTCCATGGGCGACGCCGATTGCTTACCATCAGGTGATCCGTCTGCTCGTTTACCGGCTTATGCTATAAAAAAAAATATACTCGTTTAAGTGCTTTATTAGATTATAACTTTATTGTTTTGATATACAGTCGAAATTTAAACGAATGGAGTAGGCTGACGCTGACTTTGCATGAATATTTAGTGATTTTGTTCGGAAATTGTCGTAATCATATTTGATCCTTGATTATGTAAGTGTAGGTACTTCAGTTTGTTTGTTTCTGGAATGAATTTCAATGTACGAATCTATATTTTAGTTTGAACACATAGCTTTAGGTAGGTACTGACAAACAGACTGACGGACAATTTTATTTTAACTTTACAATAATGCTTGCACGTGGTTCTTATTCAAATAAATGCTTTGACTTTAAATTGCAACTAATAACTAATACATACTAAAATATCTTAATTGAATTTTGATAGTTGACTTATTTTCTGTTTTTTTTTATAGCATAAACCGATAAACGAGCAGACGGATCACCTGATGGTAAGCAATCGGCGCCGCTCATGGACACTCGAAACACCAAGGCGTTACAAGTGCGTTACCGGCCTTTTGGGAATTGGGAATTTGAGGATTGAGGAGGATTCGGGGGTTCTTGTGAATAAACAAATTACAAACATTCAAAGTTACCCACAGTAGCTATAATCAAAGAGTATCTATCATCTGAAAAAGTCCTTGGTTTCCATTGACATGGAATAGTTTTATCAGTAGACCCAAATTGGGGACCTAGAACTCACATAGTACTCATTTCCTAGTGCCTACAAACTCCTCTGATGTTGCATGGGCGGCGCAGATTGCTTGCCATCAGTGGATGGTAGTAGATGGCAACCTTACCTCATCCTATAAAAATCTAGCTGGGTATTTATTATTATTAAATGATAATTTTATAATACTTTCCCTTGTTTGGAGATAAACCTGAACCTCAACTTAAAGACATTCTATTAGCAAAACCATTCGTTCGGTTCTGTTTTTTAAGAATAAATCCAATAAAACAACAAATAAATACTCATTAAAATAAATATTATTAAATTAAAATATACAATAATTATTTAATAATAACAAAACATTCGAGTTCGTTTTTCTATTACTCGATTAAAGTGAAATATGGGAGGACGTCCAATGGAGCTGGGTAGTTCCTCAGCCAGATGGGACCATGGATGACATGTCCATTGTTCCCATCTCTCCAGGCGCCACGAGGCAGGTAGATGTCACGGGATACTGCTCCCGGCTTCACCACTGGAGCTGCTAAGATCTTCTCACCCAAAAGGAATTCTGGAATATCAAGAATTGGGTTGTGTCGAGGGTAACAAAATAAAAATCTAATTAGTCCGTCAGTTAGATAATAAAAAAATATTAGACACGTATTTTTAATTTTCTCGTATTAAGTTGCAATACTTAGATAAATGGTCGTTACGTCATAACTTGCTACAAAATGTGGCACGTATATCGTGGAAAGTATTTAGATTTGTGAGAAAAGAAAATATACGTGTCTAAAGTTTTAAATGAATGTACCAGACGGACATTATAATAAAATTTAGGAAATTATAATTGAACTATTTCATCTATAGATGCACTTCTGAACTTATGTCAATAAAAATTTGTTACCGTCAGCAATAGCGAAAGCTTCTTCATCATGAGGGTCGAGCCACCAGATGGGAGGGTTGACGGGAGTACCGTCACTGACTGACTTCTCCATAGCAGCCAAGATCACGTCAGCATACTCCGCGTGGAGGTGGGTGTAGCGACGGCAAATTTCTACAGCCTGAAGAGAAAGTATTTTTATGTTATTTCTTTGACCCGTATTAATTGGCACTTTGTAACAACTAGGTAAGTGTGGTAATGGTTAGAAAAAAGTAACATTCAAAGTATCCTTTCGAAGTTTCGATATTCAGAGAAGTTAACTTGACTGCCTGGTTGGCCGAGTGGGGTTCGATTCCCGGGTCGGGCTCAGTACTATTGGTTTTATTTTAATCTCATTATGCCAATTGTGCCCGGTATATGGCAAGAGGCTCACCCCCTATTACATGGGACTCATAATTAACATACATAGTGAAAAGTGGGTGTAACATGATACAGTGGCATTAAGTGCCGTAATGTGCACTTCTGTCTACACCTTAGGGGTTAAAAGGCGTGATGATGTTATATTAAGTATCACTTTTAGCAAAATTTATACTTTTCCATTCAAGCTTACCTCCTGGTCATGGTCCCAGGGTACGAAGGAGTATTGAAGAGTAGGCATGAACACGTTAGCCTGTAGCCACCTGACGAACAGCTCCTTGCTGGGCTTCTCATTGTAGCCGTTGCCTCCGATCATGTCAGGCAACACCAGGGTGTAGCCGTTCAGGTTCATGGACAGAAGAGTGGTGATCAAAGACTCCAGACCGTTGTTGAAGTCCCATAGTGTGTCCTTGTCGACCATACGGATGAAGACTGGCAGGTCTTGGGTCCTGGAAGAATGGGATCATATCTAAGTGATTGAATGAAAGGGATCGTAAAGAGTTTATAGTATTTGCAACCGTTTGAAAGTCCTGAGACCGTACACAATACAATATTGAAACTAATACACATAATAAACACTCGAATTGCCTTTGTCGGAGCACACAAAACTTAGAACCGTGGGGTCGTTTAGAAAAGCCTTACTGTCTTCCTGATAGAAACGGACCCCAAGGGTAATTTTTTTTATCTGTGCGGTGCAGGAGCTCTTAGCATATCCGTGTAGCATAGTCCCAAAAGTTGTTGTAGCCGCTTGCTTATAAATAGAATAGAACTGTTATCGTTACTAAAAATGTATCTTTTAACACGGTACAGCTTGTTAATTACTTACCAAAGTTATAATAGATAGTCAGGGAAGTTTAAATTGCAACCATGATTCTTACCTCATTCCAGATCTGACTTCGATGGCGGGTCCGAACTTGGCGACAGTGCGCACGTAAGCTTGCACGATGTGGCCAGGGTGCAGGTTGATGTCCAGACCGTTCTGTACTGGGATCTGTGGAAGATAAGGTCAGCAAACTTTAGTTTTACACTTAAGTAGCAATAGCTCTAGGGATTACCCTTAGTAATCTTCAATTATATTTGAGGACTCTTCATTAGAAGAGGCCTATATATTATTTTGGTTTACATCACATTGTTACTGAAGTGTTTTTACTCTGAAAACTTCGATAGCTGGTTCATCGATTTCGTATCATAGAGCAGTAACAACAAAATGAAGTCATAACTTCATCATTATTGCGTTATTTGTGTACCCACCTGAGGAGACCAGCTAGATTCTCCAGCATCAAACTTGACTGTGTCGATGTCGTAGGTCTCAATCACGTTGCGGACTCTGTCAGAGAACCATTCGGCAGCCTCAGGGTTTGTGAAGTCGATGTAGCCAGGGATGGAGCCGTTGTTGTTCCACCAGGTCGTGTCAGGGCTGCCTTCCTCGTTCAGGACCAGGTAACTGGTGAAATTATAATAGTTCTTATTGAAGGTTAGAACTGTATTGAATCAATGCGAATAATGAAATGGGATTCTTCACAATACTTTTATGAGTGCAGTCTTCTGTTAACCATAAAAATATCATATTTTATAAAACTGAATTATGAAAATCTAATGATAGAAAAACGAAGAAAATGTGCACTTACCCCTTGCCTAAAGCCTCAGAGTACCAAGGCTCACAGTCCTTGTTGATGAAGGGATGCACCCAAATAGCGACCCTGAAGCCAAGCCCCTTGATGTCTTGTACCAACTGCTTGAGGTCAGGAAGCTTCCTTACGTCTACAAACAGGGAACCGTAGCAGACTTCCCAAAGATCGTCGATTTCAAACTGAGCGTTAGGGAAACCACTGTCCTTGATCTCGTTGGCGAAGGCCCAGAGATTGTCTTGATCGATTTCCCTGGAGTAACGTGCCCAAGTAGACCAGATAGGGTATTGGATCATCCTGTAGTCGGGAACACCAGATGGCTTGCCAAGGTAGTTGTCTACAGCGTGTTGGTGGGCAATTTTAGGGTTCTCAAAGAACCAGAGGTCGTATTTGAGGACATTTTCGGTTCTCCTTGTGGAGTAGGGGTCAGCGACTTCGGCGATCAGACAGAGATGGTTCTCAAGCTCGTTGTGGTAGTCGATGAAGAGAGGCACTTCAGGGGCGACATAGATGTACATGCCGTCGGAGTTGAGCCAATAACGTTCGCCGACGGCGGCATTGTCTTCCTCTTTGGACACGGCTGAGTATTTCTTGAGGAACGACTTCTGGATGGGCCAGTATTGCTGCTTCTGTTCGGGACCAGCGAACCATTGGCTGTTGCCTGCAGGAGGATGGTTAGTCAAGAATTATATTTTAGGCATGATGTCTAGATGTAGGTCAATTTTTACCTTATAAAGGCACTTTAAGTAATAAAAAATTCAGTTGCCAAACCAAACTCCTAAATAATAAAACTTTTAAACTACCGTTCGATTGTCATCTAGTTGTAGTAAGTAATTAGTAACCTATCCATTTTCAAGAGTGTTATAAAATCACTTTGTTTTTCCATGAAAAACTATCGAGTCATGTTGCAAAAATCTATCTATTCGATAACACGTAGAGTGACAGGTGCTTGGCTCTCAAGCGGTTTTATCAACAAAATTGATAAACATCTACAAAGTAACCACTACACTGTTTTAGATAGGTATTTACATGCCTATTCAGGTATTCATTGTGTGCTTTATGCACTCTAAGTACAGCGTGAAGATAACATTATGAATCGACAGGATTGGCGCCTTACTCAAGGTTAAGACTAAGAATGAAAAGAAAACTTGCTGAAATACATAGAGTATATGTAACAAAATAACAAAATAATTTACAGGCTAATAATAACAGATTCTCAAATTGCTTGATTAACGAAATTCGCAAATATTCAGACTTGTGTCCAGATTGCCCTTTATAAAAGTAACAACGTAAATCCAAATGATTGTCTGGCAGATATACCTAATGCTACCAAATTCTATACTTACCAAAATCGATGCAGTCCTGGAACACGACGTCGGCGGGACCAGTCCAGGTGACACTGATCTTGAGGCCACCTCTCCAGGTCTCTCCAGAGGCTTGCACGTCAAACGTCACACCATTGTCATTGCCCTGTACAGCACCACGACCGATGTGGCCCACGTAGTGGGGTCCAGAAGCTGTGTCAAGGGAACCATGATATACATTTTCTGAACATAATCAGTATTATCAATACCTAATATGAAATCAAGAAGATGTCTAATGGATGAGTTGAATTATTCTTGTACAAAATTATCGTGAACCAAATACTGATAGATGGTTTTATGAATCTCAGTATCCTGTCTTTCAGAAAGGAAAGCAGCTTCGCAATTCTAACATCTTTTTACGCTCAATTAACCAAAAATTATCCATATCGGTTTTCCTATCTTCGCTTGTAGACTCTACAGGCGAAGATAGGAATACTATTTAGTAAATAGTTTGACTTACGTCCATCGTTGGTCAAGAAGTAGCTCCCATCATCGTTCATGTGAACATGTGGCCGGCGCTGGTCCACGGGTGGGACGGCACATAGTGCTACTGCCACTCCTGCAAATTAAAGAAACGATTGAGTAGGTTCTCGAAATATTCAATTTGTTATAGATGTAATGTTTAAGAGTTTCTGTTATACAAGTACTAAGGTAATTTTGGGGGAGATGGAAATTGTTGTTCTTGATATCAACAGCCAAGTGTGAAGTTTTAAAATATGAATGTACAGACTTTCGTCTTTGCAATAATTGTTGTCTAAGTGACCTCAGAGGTTGAGAAGGTTTTGTTATAACTCTTCCATTTAGTCTCCAATGAAGCTTTGATGTATAGCTTTTTTTGGTAATTAACCCTTTGAGTACCGTCATTATAGACACAATTAAAGAACAATAGGTTGCGGTCACCGGTATCCTCGCGGTGTTTGACAGTCCCGTTAGGTTTTCCGCGACAATAAAAGAAGAATTAATACAAGAAGCAGTGTGACCTTGTAACTTCAGAGCTTAGCAACAAATATCCTACCTGCCAATAGAAGAATCACCTTCATCGTGTGTCGTGGTACTGACGGTAATCCCATCAGTACAGTATATTTATTTGTACAATCGCTATTTTCGTATCACATCTCTTGGTATCGATGTAATCATATCTTAACGGATGGATACAAAGAATTTTATGTCAGATAGCAATTGTGGTCAAATCCCCTGTAGTTTTTGGCTTGCCGTTTACTTATTAAAGGGTGTTTGAAATTTGCTAATATCTTTTTTTTATAGCATATGCAAACGAGCAGACGGATCTTCTGATGGTAAGCAATCGGCGTCGCCCATGGACACCTGGAACACCAGAAGCGTTACAAGTGCGTTACCGGCCTTTTGGGGATTAGGAGTTTGAGGATTGTTGGGGAATCGGGGATTGGGGAGATTGGGGAAGGGGGAGGGAGCTGGGCCTCCGGTAACCTCACTCACACGATGCAACACAACGCAAGCGTTGCTTCACGTCGGTTTTCGTGGTATCACTCCGGTCGCGACGGCCCATTCGTGCCGAAGCATGGCTCTCTTACACCTAAGTACACATCTGTAAAGAATGTCTCTATTTCTGAACCTTTATTTTCCTACCAACAAAGAAACAATGTCGCTGGGTTTCCTCTTGTGCCAACACGTATTTTTTTTGGAAAAGAAAAGTAGAAGAGTATTGATGTTCAAGTTCAATTTGAGACCTCCTAGTTCATTGCTCATAGATTGGGCCCAATAGGGCTGAAGCCGACACGGAGACGCGGAGAACGTAAAAGGTTACCGGGGTCCGGGTCGAAATGCAGGAGCAGGAACGGGGTGGTTTTTAGTCAGTAACAGTCTGACACTCTCTCTTACTTCACCCAGGTGGTAGAATTCGATAATTTTCTCCCCTTAAAAAAAGTTCAAGGTTCATATGATAGTAAATTAAACACCATAGTTCCCATCGAATCTAAAGTTTTCATCGAAAAATCAGTACTTGGAGATCAAAGAAAATAATTCTGATCTATTAATATTCATAACATAACAACACGCCTAATATCCTCGAAGGGATAGGCAGAGGTGCACATTACGGCGCTTAATGCCACTGTACAATGTAACACCCATTTTTCACTATTTATGTTATGAGTCTCATGTAATAGGGGGTGAGCCTATTGCCATATACCGGACACAATTCTAGAACCCAATAATAGTTTGCCCTACCCGGCAACCGAACTTACGACCACTCGGCCAACGAGGCAGTCAGTCAGCTATTAATATTCCTTTATTTCAAGTGTCAACCTGTATATTACCAGACTGATACGAAGATTTCACGGTCTTTGGAACGTGTGAGTCGTGTAACCAGGGACGCAAGTCATAGTCTCTCCACAAGATCTCGGCTCGATATGATAAGATACAGCTAGGTACAATGTTATCTCTCAAGTAGCTTGTTTGTAGTATTTATGTAATGCTGAGTACTATTTTTATTTGTGTTTCAAATTTTGAATTATTTCTGATTATAAGTTGCTTACCATTTAGGGTAGGATTATTATTATTATTTTTTCTCTTTTCTTTGGCAAACGAGTCTCCAAAACGAAGGGTAGGATTATTAAAAAGTATAAAAAAATTAAGTAAGCTTTCCAGTTCCACTGTGTGGATGTGTTGACGAAATAGTCGTGAGATAGCTATCTATTAAAATATCTACTATTTTAAGTAGTTTCCTTAAGACCAACGGCTATTACTTAGGTTAATTTCTTAATTCTATACGTTTCTTCTTCTAATACGTGTTTCTCCAAAAACATTTTTTCTTAACTCGTCACTTCATACGCGACAGTCATTTGAAATTCACGGATTAGGTACGTCATACAGAAGTTTTTCTCCTCTAAGGTTTTGCATAAAGTAGATAGTTGAATATTTTGTCTGTACTTTTACGTAATCCAAATAACAATTCATATGTGGGTAGTTTGAAATACATTTTAATGCTTGAAATGTAACTAATTAATACTGGAACGCAACTTCAAACCATAGACAAAAGGGTGTGATTGTCTATGCAGCTGTCAAGTCATCATTTTGAGTTTGACAGCTAAGTTAAAAAAACAATAGCGAACTTTGGTAACAATGGCAGATCCTAGAATTCGTCAAATAAAAATAAAGACCGGCGTTGTGAAACGCATAGCTAAAGAGAAAGTTGTGTATGAGAAGGAGGCGGAACAGCAGAAGAATAGAATACAAAAGTTAAAAGACGAGGGTCAGGACGAGCACAACATTCGGAAGCAAGAAGAAGTGCTTCAAGAGTCGCTGATGATGGTACCAGATTGTCAAAGACGGTGAGCGAGTTACTAGACAAGTATTTAAGACTTAAAAATCTTCAGAATTCTATACTTCATACTGAATATTTGCGTAGTTTCACAGTAATCTTTATATAAAATCACAGATGTTCTTGGAGGTTAGGTGCGGCGCGACAGTTGTTCTTTGTTGCAGCTGTTAGTCATTGGGGCATGACGATTCATTTATAGATATGATCGCACATGTCGATTCCTTGAATATTTATTAAGTTTTTTTAAATATTGGGGGTATTAGTTTATGCTTGATTAGACACGATTAGTTTTGTAGGTAGATTCCAATAAGAAAAAATACCTTTATGCAGTTATGCAGTCCTTCAGAAATTGCTTTCCAGTTGTAATAGAAGATGAATAGGAAATTGCAAACAACAGAATGCTTATGTTATGTATTGTAACTAGAATTTATTGATATGGAATAATAATTATTTTTACCCTCTTATTTTAATGGTACGATTTATTTTGAAGCCCGCATTTGTAATACTACTAAATTCACTATTGATTGGATAAAAAACTTCATAAAAACGTACATATATTTTTTCCATGATGTTTTTACCACATTTGTAATTGTAACTTGCCTACCTTTTGATCACACCATGTAGTGTAGTTGACAGGATTTTCTATTACAGAAGTTTGCGACTCAGACCTCATGTCAATGCACATTGCTCAATAATTTTATTATTTTACAGACTGGTGAAAGCATTTACTGACCTCAAGAACACATTAGAAACAGAGCAAGATCTCAAAGAACACGAGGATTACGTAGCTGCGCAACAAATACTCAAGGACGCTGAGAGCCAACTCCCGGAGTCAGGCGCTTTATAATACCAATACATTATTTTCTACTAATTTTATAATTACACAATCATGTCTTATAATCCTAATTTTTATAATAATTTTTGCGGAAACAATTCTACATTCCAAAGTTTTCCACCTAATTATGTGCCACCTCCTCCGCAACCACCTGCATACTTCATACCTGCTTCCACTCCTGCTGCTAAACGAGAGAAACAAGATCAAGAGTTTCTTAACACCTTTGAGAAGAGAATACCTGTCCGAGAACTCACTCAGATTAATGTAAAACCGCTGTCTATATCCGAAGTTCGGGAAGAGATACGTAAAATGGTTGTCACTATAAATGATTTAAAGACCAAAGAGAAAATACTCTTGGAGAATATAAGTACATTATCTGAAGATGAGTGGAGATCTAATATGCTGGAAGTGGAGGAGAACAAAGCTTTGATTAATAAAACTCTGACTATACTCAACGGTCCTTATTTAGATTTATTACGGAAGCTTCTAGCAAAGAGGGCAGCCAAGAGATTGCGTCTAAGGAAAGCTAACATGGAGAGGAAGAGAGAGAAAGAAGAACGAATGAAAGAATTGAAAGAGCGGTCACGGAAGATAGATGAGAACCTGCAGAAAATCAAAGATGATATCAATAAAGCTAAGCAGGTAACTAAACATTTATTTAACTGAAATAATTATGCTTTTGTGATGAAGGATTCGTAAACAAATGTCCTACAGCCTAGAACCATTCATTTCTGCCTTGCCAAGCCATGAGCTTTATCTATTTATATTTATAGATAATGTTCTCTCCCCAGTGAATCAGTAGTTATTCAATGAATGTATATTTAGATCATCATGAATATTTATTTGCTGCAACTAGTATTTTGACAACCATTTTATTTTACTCCAGGAAGCCGAGCAGAAACTGCAAGCTGATATGGTTTTAAAAGAAGTTCTCCGCAAGAAGAGTGATGCCAAGAAATGTCTGACTAAACTGGACGTTCTCGTGAAACTGCGCAAGGCTAGACAGAACACTGCTGCAGGGAGGGGTGAGAGTGTGTCGGAGAGTGAAGAAGCTGCCTTTCTTTCACATATTGGTAAGTAAAGCAAGAACTTTTAATGACTGATTCAGATCTACTTGCTATTTTGAAGAGCAAGAATGCATTATGCATAATTAAGAAACCTTATAGGCTTATAATATACAAAAATATTCCACTTCTCATCTAAGAGATTGTGTTTTAAATAGTAGATCTTTTTGTTTTCAAATACTTTAATATCCATAATTCAATGTGGTTTCTTAGTTTATCGTCCCTAAGGATCCTGAAATTATTTGCGCTCATCACTATAATCATATTTACAGATAAATTAAAATCACTTTGGGAACGCAAGCTGGTACTTTACGAGAAGGAAGAGGTGGAACTTCGGGCTCAGTTAGACGAGGACTCTGAGAAGCAGTACTCCATGTTAGCAGAGGCTGAACAACATGTTGCCACCAACCTGAACCTCTGGAGGACAACACTCTTTGGAGGGAAGCTGCCACAGGTTGACTTCCGAGGCGACGTCGCTAAGTTTATTGCAGTCAGGTAATTACTATATACTGACTAAACCTGTGATTGTTACCAAATACTTTTAACTTAGTCTATTATTATTGTTGGATAAAATTAAACTTAGGTTTTCGTTGAACACGAAAACTTAGCTAAAAGAAATGTGTTAATTCTTTTTTTATGACATAAGTCGGTAAACGAGCAGACGGATCACCTGATGGTAAGCAATCGGCGTCGCCCATGGACACATGGAACACCAGAGGCGTTATAAGTGCGTTACCGGCCTTTTGGGGATAAGGATTGTTGGGGAGATTGATATTATTACATTATGAGATATTATTACACAAAGCACAGTAAGTTTAGTTAAAATTCAGTTTATTCATAGACTGGAGTTGGCTTATTGTATGGATTTTATGGTTCTAAATTATTAACATATTCCCCTTGCCCGTTTTTCGTGTTTAAAACATGACACGAATTTATTCGGGTCCAATAATAAATATCGTTTTTATTTCCAGATCACAGTGGGATCGCTACATTAGTAAGGAAGGAACACGCCTGCCCGTCGGTTGGGTCCCTCCATCCACGAGACCTGCGTGAATTTGTGCACATTTTTGTTCTAAAACTACAGCATTTGGATGTCGAAAGTAATCTATTATTTATTTGCATTTTATATATGTGGCCTTAATTGCAAAGCTTTTTTATTATAAATAAAAAATAAAGAATGCATTTACTATTAATATTTTGTTATTTTATTTTAACCATCAGTACCTTTTGTTGAGTTTGTATGTGGTATGTGGTAATCATTACTGTGATAAAAATACAAAACGATACAGATAACAGATAATATTAAGAAATGTATTAAAAAACTGGGTGGGAAATATTCTTGAATGACATTTTGTAATATCAATTGCTACAAAAATACGTCGTTTTCATTCCGAAGTACCAAGAGTTCATAACATAGTATTATGTGTATTATAAAGTAGGTAGGAAATATTCTTGACTTGTGGTAATTCTGTAAGGGCAACAGCGGTGGTTTTAGCCAGTAGAGTCCGGCACGCCCCCGTTCCGTTGTCCTCACGGCACTATAGAAAAAAATGGGAAATATTCTTGATATGTGCTACCTTTTAATGAATAAAAAAACCGACTTCAGAAACCAAAAACCAAAAAAATATTATTGGTCATACGTTCTTATAGCTTATACACCCACTGGTAGGTGAGAAGTCGGTGCCACAAACCCATAAACACTACTCAAACTCCTTTTTTTTGAAGTTGGTTAAAAAAGAAGGTAGGTATATAATTATCTAATACGCCACCGGACCACTGACGCTAACCATTTCCATATTTAATAAATGATTGCCTCGTGGTTTCCCACCAGTAGTGCTAGCCAAGTGCAACCACTCCGTGCCCTACAATATTAGTTTTTTTACATTTTGCAGCGATATCTCCAAGGTGCTGGCGAACGCTTCGAGTCGAGCGCTAAGAAACGCGTTTGCCCGTCAAAAGTGGTATATGGCTAGCCTTTTCAAAGAAAATAATCTACTGCCATAGCGACCTGTTTTGTAGAATAGACTAAACATGCATTTGGCTACCAATCTCATGTCCAAGTACATAGTACTCACTTTTAAGTCGCGCGTATAGTTCTGCCTCAACAAATTCAAACAGAGATGGCACGATATTTAAGTGCAACTTAAAATTCGTTGTAGCATCGATATTTGGACGTCAGCAGATCCCTCTTCCCTACTGGGCACTACGGGCACGTGCCCAGGGCCCCGCAATCGAATGGGGTCCCCTAGTTAGATAGATACGGATGTAAAGAATTTTTTTAAATCTATCACGAAGATGTAAATGAAAAAGAGTTAGAAATAGAATGTCAACATTTAAAAGAATACTTAAAAAATGTTCAGAGTGAAAATAAAGCACCTAACAGTGTACAGGAAGTATATACATAATCTATTAAAGCAATACAAAATTTAAGACACATTTCTTAACGTAGAAATTGCTTTGAGAATATTTTTAAGCATGATGGTAACAGGAGCGGAGAACGCTCCTTCTAAAAATGAATTAAGAAGTACAATGCTTGAAGAGAGATTACCTAGTTTGTCGCTGATGTCCATAGAATGTGATTTACTCGATACTATAGATTTTGAAAGAATTTAAAAAATAAAAAAAATTAGATTAATTCTATGTTGATTGCAAAGATAGCAAAGGTACCCTTTGCAATCAACATAGAATTAATCTAAGGATTTTATGCTAAGCGAGTTACTTTTTTCGATTATTTTTTATATTTCTTATTTTATAGTTAGTAGGTAAATAAATAAAAATAAATTTGGAATCTTTGTCTATTTTTTTTCTCTATTGTTCTATCTATTATAACTAAATAGTGTTTTCTCAAGGTCATGGGCCCCATGATCCTAATATGCCCAGGGCCTCAAATAGTTAAAAGACGGCCCTGGACATCAGAGTGTCAAACTCTGTCTATTTTGCTCATGTCATCCGGTCATCCCATGAATTCTCCTTTCTTATTAGGCACGCTTCTAAAAGGTATTTGGCTCGCACCGCTGTATAGGCTGTTAATTTAAACGTTTTCGAGAATACCTATTGACTCTGATTTGTGGTGGCCTTGAGCCGCTTCTCATGAATGAGAGTGCAGGTTTGAAACCCACCAACGGCAAGTTCCAATATGGCTTTTTCCGAGTTGTATGTACTTTCTAAGATTATCTAGACACCACTAACAAACGGTGAAGGAAAACATCTTGAGGAAACCTGGGCCTTATATTTTCAATTATAAGTTTGAAATCACCAATCCACATTGAGCAATCGTGTTGGTGAAAGCTCAAACCATCTCTGTCCGAAAAGAGGCCTTTGGTCAGCAGTGGTCACTTATAGGCTGTTGATGATAATGACTCTGAATTGAAGGTAGCATCGCATCAAGCTTCTTTGTGCGTACTGCTAAGGAGTGGAATTCTTTGTCAGAACCTGTTTCCTGAAGGGTATAACCTGGGTGTTTTCAAGGCCCGAATGAATAGGTTGTTTATGGGTCGTCGTGCTCAATCGGTGGCCCCATCATCGCTTAGCACGAGGCCAGATAGTGGTCCAACGTCGGCCCACAAGATCCATACAACTTACACCGTTCGACGGTCGCTGTTATAGCTTGATTAACGAGGTCAGGTAATTACCACGTTAGAATTACGAAACAAAACAAATAAAACAAAATAATTCAGCATACTCAAGTCTTTTACTCGTCACAATTTCCACTTAAATGAATTAATAGGAAATTACATGTAAAAACACATGGACACGCGGCCCAAATAATTATACACTAATATTATGGATATCGTAATAAATCTATTGAATTAGTATTCTAATTATTTCCATAGTATTTATGTCTTATGTCCCCACATTAAGAGCGATAATAAATTTGAAAGTAACGGTGCACTTGGGTGAAATGGTTGAGGAATACTCAATTAGTTTCAAGTCACAATGGGGCTATTATTCATGAGAATCATGATTAGTGCGCAGACGCGTTCGCAGATTATACGTGAGTAAACTATTATTTTTAATTAATTTAGTATATCTGTGAGAGCCATGCTTCGGTACGAATATGTCGGCTCGACTGGAGTAGTACCACGGTCGAGCAGAAAACCATAGTGAAATGTGATATTATCGTCGTGTGAGTGAGGTTAACGGAGGCCTAATTACCTCACTCCCCAATCTCCCCAATCCCCAACAATCCTCTAATTCCTAATCCCCAAAAGGTTAGTAACGTACTTGTAACACGTCTGGTGTTCCAGGTGTCCATGGGCGGCGCCGATTGCTTACCATCAGGTGATCTGTCAGCTCGTTTACCGGCGTCTCATGAAAGTTATTTTTATACCGAGAAAGATTGCATTTATTGTTCTATATTTTCAAAAGTTGTCTCATGTTTTTGTGGGGTTTAAAGAAATAACTACTATGAACACATTGCAACTATGTATCCGTAAAAACGGGACGGCTTATAGATTTAAAATAAACCCATATATGCACAATGCAACCTTAAATTACATAACGATTCAATTTGAACATTACTGTTCGAACCTTAAGAACTAATTTAAAATCACAATGTCAAATGAAAATAATTATGAGAAACAATTTAATAATAAACAAATGAATAGATTAGACGAGAGCCGATCAACCTACCCAATCAGCCAAGCAACAGATTTTCAACCACATCTCTTGACGATAAAGTCTAAAATCACTTCAATAAAAGGGTACTTTGATCTGCAGTCGTCTATAAAATGTAGATTGATCTAAACTATTTATATTTAATATATACATAGGCAAGCGTCCCGTTTCGTCTACAAATTACTTGAGGTACACGCGGCATTGAATCATGAAGTGATAAGTGTCGGTATCAAGATATCAAGGCATCACCAAAACCATTATCGACCCAAACCAGAACTGCAAACTGATAATTTTTCGTATATCGGTGACTATTTCGTAACTTAAAATTTACGCCAAATGACAAATTGCAACGTAACTTTTATTTCTCTCCACAAAATTGACCGCGGCATCAGTTAGACATTACATTTTCAAAGCATTTTTAGTTGACATCTATTATTTACACAATAAAGTTTTTATTGATTTTAGCAAATGAAAAATAATTGACGGAATTGCCGCGGAAGATTAAAAACAATGTTAATTATTTTACACACAGAGTAATTGTAAAGTTCATAATACAGGCTGTCTAACTTCTAACTTTACCAGATTCCCAACCTTGTTACTGTACCATAAAGTTGAAAATTAAATAAAAACATCTGAATATCTTAAGGTGGTGGTGTACCTAGAGTTATTAAGGTACAGTGGGCAGCTTAAATCACATCAACCTACTCTTTTCCATCAAATTTCCTTATTCGATTTTCAACTCAATAGTTTAGAAATAAAGTCTTAAAATCGAATGATAAAAATTGACACATCGGAGTAGGTTGATATACCAATACAATAACAACATAAAACAATTAGACCTTTACAAAATACTCTGTGGTTCCCTTCAACATTTGTATTGCACTCAAAACCACATCGCTGGATACAATCTAAATAATTTTGCACTCTTATTTTCTTCATTATTGCTATATCAATACACAATTCCGTACACTTCTAATTAGAAACCATTTTTATTATAAATACTATGTTTTATATTTATTTTACTAGTATCTAGCCGACCGAAGTTAGACCCAGCACAAACGATAAATCAATTTAAAATGAACCTTAACTAATATGGCATACGGATGGAAACGACATGACAAAGTAGCTTGACGACGGGCCGCCCTCCTTTATCTTTGGATGTTATTTTCACCCGTATGTCACAGTAGATAAGGTTTATTCTAAATTGAGTTATTCTCGTCGGTTTGCGCTGGGCCAACCACCATGGGTTACAGGCTGCTTCTGTCTCTCTTACACTCGTTGGTTTTGAGGTATTGTTGTCTTACTCACACATTTGGTATGAACTTGCAAAAGGTTGGAAAACATCTTTAGCGTTTACGAAAGTAGAAACTGACTGAGCTTTGGAGGTTTACTTATTTACAAGATTTGATTAACCCGTCGTGTGTCTAAACTTGGATCCACGCGAGACACAATTTATTTTCTTTCTATTGTGTCCCATATACGGGCATTCAAGTGGTTAAAGGCGATCGTTATAATAATTGTAATAGATTCTCCATTTAAGATTCGAGTCTGTACGGAGAATATCCAAATAGGATTGCAATTAATTCTCAAAAATTGAGGAACACAAAACTAATTGAGATAAAACATGCTTTCAATATTTTCTACTTTCATAAATACTAAATGTTGTATCCAATTTAAAAACCAGTGTTTCTAGATAGCAAATTTTCTGAATATTCTGGACCAACCATACGTTTGCGCTTTACAAATATTTCGAGCAACTTCTAAAGATATTTTAATTAATAATTTACATCCTTGTTCACATTCACCGACCTGACATAAATCAATGAGAATGAACTAACATTTAATGTAAGTAATATAGACAATTTACATTAAATAAAATAATTATAAAAAATATTATAATCATCATATTTGAATAAAAGCGAATGTCATTATTCTTTTCATTTTAAAAATGGGTCATAGTACTCATAAGCATTTGTAAATACTTTAGTCCAACAGTGGAATAGAGACAACAGAGGTTGAAGATAACATTGCCATGCCCAGAAAAATGTTGCCCAACAGTGGACTAAACGTATGTCCACTATGGGCAATATTGGCCGTAGCAGTTATTGCCAGAGTCCTGCGTAGTTCCCAATGAGTGGCGCGGGCAATGGTCCCCCGGCAGTGAAGATCCTGGTCCCGCTGTCGTCGTAGCAATGCGTGTATATTGCTGGGACATGCTTCACTTGACTGAAGCCGTCCGCTTCCTCGTCGGGGAACTGTGAACGATGGAATTGTTTTTAGAACATACTATAACACACAGTTCCAACAAATTATTAGTTTAACAAGAAGGCTAACGCACAATGTCTTAACTCGTTGAGTACCGTCATTATAGACACAATTATAGAACAATAGGTTGCGGTCACCGGTGTCCTCGCAGTGTTTCACAGTTTAAATCAGACCTCTTTTGCTTCTTAGCCGATGTTTTTCATTTCCATGAACATAGTTTAGACATTTGTATGCATTGTCATTTTATTTCTTTTTTGTTTAGTGGCAAGATGATTGATATTTTCTTTTATGGAATAGAAGGCAAACGAGCAGACGGATCACCTGATGGTAAGCGATCAGCGCCGCCCATGGACACCCGCAACACCAGAGGAGTCACAGGTCCGTTACCGGCCTTTTAAAAAGGAATACGCTCTTTTCTTGAAGGTTTGAAGGTCGTATCGGTTAGCTTCTTTTTTTATTTTAAAAAGATTTTAAAAATATCCTAACATAACATCACGCCTTTTATCCTCGAAGGGATAGGCAGAGGTGCACATTACGGCACTTAATGCCACTATACAATGTAACACCCACTTTTCACTATTTATGTTACGAGTCCCATGTAATAGGAGGCAAGCCTATTGCCATATACCGGGCACAATTCAAGACTCCTACTGACATTTTAATTATGATGTTTTGCGGCTTACTCATGAAACTGTTTGACGAGGCACATGCGACCACTCGGCCAACGAGGTAGTCTTTCAAAACATAAGATAAAATAAGTTGTATAACTCACCACATATCCCCTGGAAGCCTTGAGCGTGACTGTTTTAGTAGAATGTATATTGCTCTCTAAGTATTTGCCCGCGCGTAGGTCGTAGAACATTAGTAAACCTGGAGATGGCAAAATGTTATTAGAAAAAACATGTCACATTGTCATTGTTTTAAAGAAATTATTTCTAAAATTGTAGTTCTGTGGATCGGTTAATAACACTTTTACCGTATTTTGTTTTGTGTCTGATGTCTAAAACGTTTTTTGTTCGAATTTTTTGACAGAAAGAAAATCAGGTATTAAGAAGATAAGATTAAATTTTCTGATCTTTTTAGCCATAAATATTTTGAATATGAGTATTGTATAGTCAGAGGCCAAGTTTCTTTTTCATATTTTTAAACATGGTTTCATAACACTAATTTTAATAATCTCTATATAATCGACTGCACGGTTGGCGCGGTGACTGGGCAACTGACTGCCGCGTAACGTGTTGCGGGTTCGATTTCCGCACGGAACAACTTTTTGTGTGATCCACAGATTGTTGTTCCGGGTCTGAGTGTGATGTGTATGTGAATTTATATGTTTGTAAACGCACCCACGGCACAGGAAGAAATCCTAGTAGGTGGCACGTTTTTTTTAAATAAAAATGAATGTAGTTGTTTACCCAGGCCGGTCCCGATGGTGAGCATGTCCCCGCGGAAGGAGGCGGACCGTATCCCGCAGCCGTTGTACCGGGAGGTGACCTTCTTGACGGACTGCAGCGTGCGGCAGTCCAGCAGCAACGTGTACGACTTGCAACCGATCGCGTACACCCCGCTCTCCTGGGGACAACAATAAAATAAGCCTTATTATTGGTTTTTTTAAATGGGACAAGTCCGCCAAAACCTCCCAAAACCGCTGCAACTCCTGTAAGCCAGGATCTACAGTAGATACAACCATTAAAACACCGGAACACTGAAGTCCGGCGCGTCCCAGGGACATGAGTAACTGTCTTGGTTCCCGCAACGAAGTGAATCAATATTATAAGAGGAGAAGAAAAAACTAGTATCCACTTCGTGTTCTTGTGTGTTCTTAAAAACCTACTTTATTATTAAGGTTACACTTTTACAATGTATTCACTGTCATTATACATCAGTACTTTTGTCCCAGCTTGCCTTTCGACATAGGCTTCCTCCGAAAATTTCCACTTTTCCCTATCCCTCGCAATTCTCATCCATTCTGGTCCAGCAGTTCTCCTTAGGTTATCATCATAGGTTGGGTATAGGTTATCAACGCTTTGGTTGTCGCCCTTTGCTGAATTTCCCATCTCTGGGGTACCATTCTAATATTGTCTTTGTCCATTTTTTATTTCTCTCTCTTATCATGTCTATCACCATTTTAGTGTTTTACATACTTTCAATGTTAGAGTGTGATGTCGATATTACAGCTTTAATTTGGTAGAACTTTTAATATCCAATAGAATAGTCCCAAGTGACAGATATAATTCTTAAGGCACATATATATAAAAAAGGATAAGTTAAGTACTTGATTTGAAGACTGACTAGACATAAATCGACAGTGGCGCCAACTGTCGAGCGCGGAACATATGACCAGACATTATATTTTCCAGTATAAAGTTTTAACGTTTTACAGTCAAAATTGAAGAATCACATTACTATTGGTTTTAATTTCACATTAGCTTTTAGCTTGAATTTGGTGTAAACAAACAAAAAATTGGATTTTAGCATAAAAAGATTCATTAGGTAACTTAAACGTAAAGTATAGCTACTGTCATTTTGTGAAATAATGATACCACATATAATAGTGTAGTGATGAACACAAAAATCGATAAACAATCAGTGTGTGTGTTTTATAATAAATGTTACAGAAAGTGACAGGATAGCGATAGCGATGACGGCGACAATTTATAAAATAACTTATTACCATAATACATCTATCTGTTTTATTTGTTATTTTCCTTCATAATTATATTTTTTTATTTATTTCACACACAATTATAAAAGAAAAGTCTCAGATCGTTAATTAATCGTCAAAACTAAATTATCGGTTCAGAAATATTTAATTTCCTGATATACTTAGTTTACGAGAGTAAAATTATAAACAGGAAGAATCGATCCAGAAATATTGCATTACCATATCGAATAATTTCGCAACGTCACTATTTAGTACTTGTCATAACGTTGCAACACTGAAATTGTCAAATCTGGAATCGAATTAAAATTCCGAGTATAGTCAAAATTTCAGATGTTTTATTTTATAATAGTTGTGTGGGAGAGCCATGGTTCGGCACTGCTGGGCCGGCTCGACCGGAGTGATACCACGGCCGAGCAGAAAACCGACGTGAAGCAACGCTTGCGTTGTGTTTCGTCGTGTGAGTGAGGTTACCGGAGGACCAATTACCCTCCCCTTCCCCAATCTCCCCAATCCCTGAATCCCCAACGATCCTCAAACTCCTAATCCCCAAAAAGCCGGTAACGTACTTGTAACACCTCTGGTGTTCCAGGTGTCCATGGGCGACGTCGATTGTTTACCATCAGGTGATCCGTCTGCTCGTTTACCGGATTATGCCATAAAAAAAAATAGTTATCATTACCTGTGTTGCCAGACACACGAGGTCCTGACAGGAGGGCAGTTTCCTGGACAGAGTCTGTCGGAATGTCTCCGCGTTGAAGACGTGGATGTATCCGTTCAGGGTCAACGCGGCTATCTCACGCCAGCGCTGGTTGAAGGTTAGCGCGCGGACTTTCTGACCTGCACATGGAAAAAATATCGGTTAATGACTAAATTTCATATTGTTTTATTGTAAACTGACTTTTTGTTCTATAAAAGGAAAAAAGATGATTTAAGCAGGGCGGCTCTCAGATTTTTTTAGTCAGTAAGAGTCTGATACCCTCTTTCCCTAAGATGGGAGGAGTCACTGGAGTGATATTCCCCTCGAAAAAGATTTTTTGAACCATTTTTACGTTGTCGCGGAATGATCTCATGAATATGATCCCCTAATAAACACCATCTAGCTGATACCATAGGAAAATTGTATTTTCTAAAAATATGGAATTCCATGGTAACTTTACCGGAGCGACACTCCTTGATAGCGAGTGGAGCGACGTAGTGATGCGAGTGATTCTGCGGCGCTGCACTAGGCGCGCGCCATAGTGCCAGCTTGGAGTCTCTGGATCCTGTCACCAGGAACTCGTCGTCCAGCCAACACATGTCCAGGATCTGACACAAATATAATAGTTCTGATATTACTAATGCCGCATTTACACAATCTTGAAAATCGCGAGGCGAATGGCCGGGCCACTCCAGGATGTAAACAAGACGCTCGCTATATGCCTCGTGCGTTCCTCACGATGCGATTCGCTCGCTCCCGTCGCGACCAGTTGTTACTCACGAACGCACAGTGCACACAATAACCCTGTGAATGTGGGAAGTTCATGCAGGCACTATTGTATGTAGGTACGAGTGTTTCATCAGTCAAAATGTTCTTTTTTATGGGACAAGCCCGCTACAACCTCCCAAAACCGCTGCAACTCCTGTAAGCCAGGATCTACAGTAGATACAACCAAGAAAACACAGGAACACTGAGGTCCGGCGCGTCCCAGGGACATGAAGGACTGTGTTGGTTCCCGCAACGATATAAATCAGAAGATTAAGTAAAATCGCGGGTTATTCACGTGAATATACTTAGAAAAGCTCCACTAGTTCACTGAGCCGAGCGACGTCGCCGCGACCGCGCACGGTGCTCATGAGGAAGAACCCCTCTGTGGTTCGAAACTAGTAGAGCTTTTCGCAGTATATTCACGTGAGTAACCCGCGATTTTACTTAATTTAGTATGTCTCACGATAGTTATTATAAAAACAAATCAAAATATATTATAAGAGGAGAAAAAATTATATAAATGAGATGCCTTACCCAGTCTTTATGCGCCTCCCCGACACAGACGGGGTCGAGTGTGGGCAGACTGTATATGGCCAGCTCGCACGAGTTGCGGGCGCCCGTCGCCAGTAACGTTCTGCGAGGAAATAACAATACAATTCAATGTAGTAGCAGCTTAACTGTACTTACATAATATCGTGTAAGTAGGCTACTTACTGGTGTCAAAAATCATATCAACAACCTATAAATGGTCACTCCTGTGCAAAGGCCTCTGCTCACATCAAGGATTGAGCATTAATCACCACGCTTGTTTAAGGTGGAATGGGGATTTCAAACTTATCATAAGAAATTATGAGTACAGGTTTTCTCACGATTTCTTCTTTCACTGTACGCAAGTGGTATCTATATAAATCTTAATTCTAGACTTATCTAGCAGTTTTTAATGTTCAAATGTTAACCAAGTCTATTAATGAATCATTTTTATAATGTACCTGGATGGATTGATCTGTAGTGCATGTATCCCAGTCTGTTGGTCTGCGCCGGCCCAGGGCGCGCGAGGTCGTAACGTCGGGATGTTGTCCAGGGAACGACGACGGACGTCGTACACCATGAGCTGGGAAAGACATACATAATTTCACATCATTATTATAACAATAATTGTTCTAAATAAATAAAAATTTCTCATCATACGTAGTTTATACATCTTATATTATACGACCCGCCCCGGCTTCGCGCGCAACTTGCATGTATCACTACATAGTATAAAACAAAGTCGCGGTTTTTTTATTAGATAGTGATTCTTAAGCAATGTTTATATGTATAATGCATGCATATTGCACCCGTACGAAGACGGGGCGGGTCGAAAATTATAAACCTTCCTTAAAAATCACTTTACCTATTAAAAAAAACCACATCAAAATCCGTTGCGTAGTTTTAAAGATCTAAGGGACAGACAGACGGTGGATAGTGATTGTTTTATACTATGTAGTGTAGTGATAAAGCTGTACAATTTGTTTGTTTGTTTAAACACGCCAAACTCCGGTACTACTGGACCGATTTAAAAAATCTTTTTATGTTAGATATTCGAGGAAGACTATAACTGGCTATAAAATATCACGCTACGATACATAGGCGCCGAGCGAGCGGGTGACGCGGGAGTAGCTAGTAGGGAGAATAATAAACGTTAAGGACTGTTTTAAATTCAAAGATTAACGTTTTCTTATTTTCAAATAATCTTGCCCTACAGTAGGATTATCTCCTGTGTCGTGTGTGCGTTTACAAACATACAAGTTAAAATACACATGACACCCAGACCCGGAACAACAATCTGTGGATCACACAAAGAGTTGTTTCGTTGCGCGGCAGCCAGTTGCCTAGTCACCGCGCTAACCGTGCCGTCAAGTAATTAAAGAACCCCAGAGTAATTCAAAGTTTTAATAGATGCAGTTGGTATGAGGTCACCTTCAAGGCACAGTACCACAATAAGTTAAACTTAATGCCATACCAATGAGATAAGACTATTTTTAGATAAACATCTAAGTACCTACCGCAAGTAGGTAGCCTATTAGCCTATGACATCGTTCAACTAATTGCTTTTTAATATCAGTTAGAAATTTCTGAGACAATTTTCCTATTAAGTATATAATGTGTTGTCAAACCAACTATTAACACAATAATTTGTTTCGAATTTTGTTCATTGATGAAGTTGGAATGAGCGTTCTCAAGTCTTCAATTTAATTACTGAATCACATTATGCCTGTCAGTCAGTAAATAATAAAATTACTACATTATAATTTATTGATTATTGGAAACATATGCAGACATGCCGAGGACGAGGACCTTTTATATGATATCAAAATCATCATAACTTATACCTGAACATAACATAACATTACGCCTTTTATTCCCGAAGAGGTAGGCAGAGTCACTTAATGCCAATGTACAAGTGTACAATGTAACACCCACTATTCACTATTTATGTTAAAAGTCCCATGTAATAGGAGGTGAGCCTATAATTTGTGCGACTACCGGGAATTCTTTAAAAAATCCAGTAATACTTGGCTCGCCCCGGGAATCGAACCCGAGGCCCCTTGCCTGGCAGTCGCACTAGCGATCAGCCAACGAGGCAGGTCTTATACCTGAAATAGTAGGCTAACAACGATTTATCAACCAAAATACATTGTGAATGTTTCATATTGTATTATATTTACCTTATTACACTTGGTGCCGAACACTACTTGTCTGTCAGAGAGCCACTGCGAGCAGAACACCTTGTTCATGTTCCCGAGGTTGATGGGGGTCTCCCGGAACATGTCGTGGGTGAGCATGTGTCGAGTCGCGTATGATGGATCCACTGAGCGGGGCTGGAAGGAAAGATTGTTATCTATCTCATTAAGGATGTCCTCCATTTAAACATATTTTTTATGAATAATGTAATTTAACCTCATATCGTCATATCTCTGGTATCTAAAGTCTAATACAGGATGAACATACTTAAACTTCATCAATATTTATCCTGATCAAATACAATATTGTTATATTATTTAGATAACAGGATTTTAAATTAATTTGAATAAGCACATGTCATACCTACGATAATAACAAATATGTGTACCTACTTTATAATAAAGATAGGTACATACACTTAACTTGAAAACAATTGTGTACCAATAACACTCATAATTGGTAGTTTTGATAATTTTATTTGTGATCTCAAAATGTCTGTTTTCCTGTCTGTTATAACAGGTACAGACAGATATAACAGTTAGTTTACATTGTAAAATATTCATGTAATACAATTTTGAATATTACACAAATATTACAAACACAATATTGAATGAAGGCACTAGATGATAAATTCGGTTTTACTTTTCACAATTCGAGGGTATAGTGCTCAAACCCAATAAGTACGAAATTGACACTTTTGAGATATTCAATATTTAAGTTTAAGGACAAAAATACCCTATGTTATTCAAATAATGTCGTTATTATGAGTATTTGTGGTAAAAGTGGATACGTTAAATTAGTGTAAAACAGTGTTTTTGAGTTTCTGAGGTAGTACATTTTGTCATAATAAATATATAAGTTACAAAGGGCACCGACTTATTGGGTTTTAGATTTAGTGAAATTAAACATACTATGTACTTTAGGAAATGGTTTATTTAAAGAATCATAAAAAAAAACAAAATTAATAACTCTTCATCACTTTCGAAAGCTGTAGGTTTGGTGTACGTCTTCATACCACGTATCCATGCATGAAGTTCCTCTGGTATGATAAGTTTTTCGCACATATTGAGGAGATCCTTTTTTTTAGCAAGGCTAATTGGTAATTGAGTGGGATATAAATGCTCTATTTCGTTTGGTAATTGTACATTAACTGAAGGCGGGTTGGAATATCTTTTAGCTCTAGTTTTTGGTGTATTAACGGCCATTTTACAGACATCAATGCTACGAAAGTTCTCGGACATATCATAATTAAAATATAATTTTAAGTCTCCTTTCACATACTTAATCCTTTTTATTTTAAGCCAGTTAACAGTTTCCTTCAAGTTATCTTTATTTTTGATTCTAATTATTGCAGCGCTAAGATTTTTCAAGTCTAACATGTCATTAAATTTAAATTCTCTCACTTTATAATTATCAATCTCTATTGTTTCCTTCACATCCTCTTTCGTAATAGTTTTAGCTCTCTTCTTTCTAGCTGCTTTAAAAACGTTTTTCCACTCACTTACGCTACTTATTGTCTTATTTTTAGACGCTGATTCAATAGCAGCGTGCATGGAATCCACCTCCATGTGAGTGTGGCCACTTTCTAAGAATTTCTGTTCGATTACATTTAAATGATCGATTTTTTGAACTGCCCAGAGCAGAAGTGCTGAGATGTACTGATTCCTGTTTTGTCCGCTACAGGTGTCAGAAAAAATACTTATTTCTTTGATGGATTGGGGTAATTCTTTCGATAAAAAGTAATAGAGGCACGTACCTATTTCAGAACTCCCTTTTTTACCATTTAGTTCGCTCCAACAGAGACAGTAAGCATTATTTGGAAATTTTGCTTCGTAAATAGTAAAATTATACAATACTAACTTCCTCATATAGTATAATATACTTTCCCCTCCACTTGGTATTTGCAACACAGCTTGTAAATCCATAGTAATAGACATAAATGAGTGATCTGTATTAGCCCGAATTTTGTCAGCATCTTTTTCTGCTTGACATATTTTTTTACGCTGTATGTGCTCCCGAAATTCATCTTCTAAATTTTCTTTCGAGTCAGCTTTTTCGTATTTTGAACAATTAATGCTACATAAGTCCTTTTTTGGATGAAAAAAACTCAAATTAAATTTATCATTAAATATTTCACGGTACTTAAATGCTGAAACTGCTACCCTTTCGGATTCTTTGCAAATGTCCTGATACAATCTATACATATTATTAATAGATTTTACGTCAGGAGCCAAATATTTCTTTTTGCTATCTTTACGACAGTAATGGGACTCCATCACAGGAAAAGATTCAATATGTTGTTGTACAAATGCAATATCGTCAGCGCTTGTTTTGTTTGGTGGTTCTTTTTTACCGCGTTGATCATCACTTTTGTAAACCCCGAAAGAATCAGCTTTAATCACAGCGTCAGTTATAACATCCATACTAATACATAAAGTTGCTTTGAAAAAGTTGAGGCAGACTTGAATTGGTTCGTTGTTCTTCCTGAAAAAGTATTTTTTGCTGACTGTGCGATCCTTTTTATTTGATGTTTTCTGTAATTTCCTAGTCTTTACAGGCTGAATCTTTAGGCATGAGAGAATAAAATTTTTTTGTGATACGAAGTTCATATTGTAATAATTACGACACAAAACGTTTCGTTCGTCAGGAGAAAACTTTTGAGTACATTTAAATATGCATTTATCACATTGAATGGGCTTTGGCACTTTGGCCGATCTAGCAACACCTTTTGTAATGTAAGGTAATCCCTCGGCTTTTCTCGCTTTACTAATGTTTCGTTTCCACTCTCTTGGTTGAGCTCTTTTTCGTCTCGTTATGGGTTTGATGGATAACCAAACTCTATCCAAAAGATTTTCAAGAATCAACATGACGACTTCTTTGCCTGTATCGTTTTGACATTCCTCAGGAATTAAACAGTCAGAACCACTATCGTTTTGTATATTTTCATCTGAGTCTGGCACATAAGTAGGATCTCTATCTGAAAAGTCGCTGCCAAATGGGTCTTCTTTCTTACTTGATTCATCTGACGCATAACAACAAATTATCTGACTTGTAGACGCCTCAGGAGTTTGACCTGCGGAAATAAAAAATAAAAAAATAGCTAGTACAGTTATGATAACACAGAACTCAAAAGTTAATTGTACCTATTAGTACAGACAATCCTGTCAACTAAACGCCCCACTGCAGGACATAGGCCTCTACATACTACACGGATAAAGTAAGATAGGATTGGACAAAATATAAGTACCTGTATTCATGAAATTATCCTCTAGAAGATCCTTCATCTTTAAAACAGTATCCAATTGTGTAAGGTCCAGGTCTGATGAACTATTCAAAATTACATCATCATCGTTTGATGACATCAAAGGCACAGCTATATCTAAAATTAATTTAATGAGTATAATCAACACAAAATACCAAACAGTTATAGTAGATAACGTAATAACATCATTTGAGAAGTACATAACTACATACCATGTGTATCGTGTACATTACTGGCTGGATCTAGATTTTTCAAATAAACGCTGCCCTTTTCCAAATTAGAATTTGTACCATCTAAAAACAAAATAAAATTAATTATAAATTGTTTATTCTTTAAAAAAAACTGTACCTAAGTGTTTTATTTTATAAAAACGTTGCCCCACTCTAGAAATTTTTTCTGTGTCGTGGGTGCGCTTACAAACATAAACTCACATACACAAACGCCCAGACCCGAAATAAGTACTTGTGGATCATATAAATGTTTGTTCCGTGCGGGAATCGAACCCGCGACACGCAGGGTAGCAGTCCAATCGCTCAGCCACTTACACCTAATTATTTAATAAAACTTACCACAAACATCTTGTAAAGTACTTGCAGGATTTCGATTTTCCAAAGGCAGTTCCACTTTCATGATACTATCATCGGATATATCTAAAACCAACATTAAGCTATAATAATAAATAATTATAAGAGGAAACTAAGTTAATGAAAAAAAATACAGTTAAAAACATTATTTTATTACTGTAGAATTCGTTATAAAAACGGTAAAAGTTGTTAGTGGTAAAACCGCATAATTCGGAAGTCCATCGACAGTGCACCGTATTTGATAATAGAAATTCGTGAACCGCGAGTGATTATTATTATTGCTCTCTCGCTCACTCACAGCACATCGAATGAAATTATGAAACAGCGGCGCAATTCGCTCGACGCCGGCCGCGCTGCGCCGGTCTGTACTTTGGCTGGTATGACTTACCAAATTAAATAATAGGTACTATTTATAACACAATTAATTAGCTATTGTAATAGCTTGATTGCCTTGCAACTGTAGCTAAAATGGTAAATCAAAGTTTAGTATAAGAATTGAACGATACAACTTGTTTAGGTTATTTTCATTCTTCATTAGGTACTTAAGAAAAAAAATTACTATAATGTTTGAATTTACCTGATATCAACGGCTTAATGCAAACTAGTTGCACTAATTTCCTTCCTCGATCACCCATCGTAGCATTAGCATAATAAATCTTAGAGTATTATCGCAATAAATAAAAGAATTTCGATAACAATACCCGCGGATGACGCGACGACGCGTGCGCGATGCAAATGCGCCTCGCAAACTGACAACAGTAATGCTAGAAGTTCATAGATCAAATTGATTTATTGGGTTCTTCTTCGAACAATATAACCATATAACTAAATATAACTTGCTACTTTTGAAACATAATCGAACAGTAAAACCCGACAAATACATTTATTTTGATTTAACTTTTGGTTTTATTTGTTTTTTTATCTACTTATTGAAAGATAAAACCCGATAAATACAAATAGTGATTATTGCCTCTAAACCGTTGGGTAATTTTAGTTAAAATTATTGAACACTCAATACCAACAAAAAGCTTTATGTGGTTTAATCGTGAAATTAAAATATTATATTATATATATGTAATAAAATAATATGCTTTATAGGGTATTAGTTTTTAAGTCTTGGCTAAACGTGATGACTTTATTGGGTTACTACCTTAAGTAATTTTCTTTCTACTGCGAATTTCACTTATTGGATTAGATCACTGGAAAGAGCGTCAAAAATGTAGTAAGATGTACTAATAAAACGATTTTTAATTTTTTGACACTTATTGGGTTTGAACACTATACCCTCGAATTAGGTACTATGTAAATTATGTATGAATTACTAATTATTTTCTAAAGATCATAAATCCCCAAAAATTTTCTACACCATAATCTAGTACAAGTACCCAAATGTTTCTTCATAATAATAACACATGGAGTCAAGGGCATCTGTGTGAAATGCAACGAGATAAGATTGTAGCAATAACGATGCAAATATTTTAGTTTTGTATTTGTAAAGCTACGTAAATATACACTAAGGAAGGACTTTACTTAAAATTAATCTTATTTTCTTTGCAAATAAAGAATATTCATATTTGTTTAAATCTTTTAGTAATTATAAAATTGTAGCCTTGGATATTACTTCCTTATTATATCGTGAGTTTTGTAGTTGCTAGCTTAAAATATTGTAGTCTTCGCACTGGGCATTATATTAACGTAACTTAATTACTAAAAATATTCTTTTGCGATATTACTAAACACTACAATTGAAAAATATCAAATAACAGATGTTTTACAGCCTTAATCTTTTAAATAAATACCACACAGATGTTACAATGCAAACAAACAGTTGTTGAGTATTGATACGAATATGAAAACAATAACAAACCTCATTAGATTGAATCTCCCGAGATCGTACATAGTCCACAAAGTTATATGATGTTGACAAAATTTTGTGCTGTTGTGCCGGAGTCTCCTCCTCACTATCACTGTCCGAATAACACACAAAGTCCTCAGGCTTATCTGGTTTCCTTTGCTGTTCTAACCTGTAAACAATAATAAGTAGGTCAACACTTCTGAACAAAAAATATTTTATATGTCAACAAAACACTTACTAAATAATACACACCAAATATTAATGTCATTGTACCTCTATCTAATCAGTTTTTTACTATCATGCTCATATTATATTCGAGACATAATCACACAACACTACATCAGTGAATGATCACGAATAATTGGGTAATAATTAACAGGTACATGCAAAACAAGGTTTCTTAACTACAATGTCAAGCTTAACAATTTAAAACTCAGATATGTTACAAGTTCTCAGCTTTGTAAGCAAAAACAAATGAAAAATATAATGCACAAAAAAAGAACAAGGCACCTGCCGTGGCTACGAGGTGCCAATGCCCTGTGAAACAATATTTATTTACCTCAATGCCCTGGCTTTTGCTCGTCTTTCTTTTATCCTACTTGGTATGTAACAGGACGGGTATCTACCCTCGATCGCTCGTCTGACCGTCTGCGCCATTTTTATTGCAGCCGAATGTTTCAGTAATCACCGTTTAACACACGGTCAACTAGTCACTTTCGTTTTGTTCGGCTGTACACATACCAATAGTACGACATCTTTCATTGTAGAATGGAGTCCGAACATTCACATTTATCTCTATTCACACGTTAACAGTTGCACAGTAACTAAACATATTAAATATAGTTTGTTTATAAAAATACGCTATGTATAAACTTTCGAAATATAATAATAACTCTTTATTTTAGATATTTTGTAGAAAATACTACGCTGACGGAAAGCTGCCTGTCATTAGTGTTGCTATATTTAAAAAATATTTTTCAATCATTATTTATAATAAATTGGTAGAAAGGTAGTTATAGGTAGTTTGTAAAAATATTTAACAACTTCATAATAAAAATAAACCAATTAATAATATTAGAAGAAAATATTATTTTTAATTTACATGTACATTGAGAACTATTTTTTATATTCTTGAAAATGCTTATATATAGCTTTTTCATTTAGTATTATTTCGCAACAATAATTAATATTCGTTGTGGATTGTGGTTTGTGGTAAATGTGGTTATACTTTCAATGTAAATTCCTTTTTATTGCTAAAATATTAAACGTAGGCACTAGTAGCACAATAAATAAAAGTTATGAAAATTTTACGAGTATTTTATGAAAATTTTATGATTTATGAACATAAGTACATACGTATAATGGTGTTGAGTGGCTAAAGAAAGCATCCATCATATTTTCTGCAGTAATGTTGAGATGGCTTCATCTTATCATCATATACCGGGTGTAATTTCACGTTGTGTTGTAATTTCAATATTAGGCATTGTGAGATGGGCTCTCTAAAATCAAGGGACTCAATAATAGGTAATATCTATTGTGCTTTTGAAATAGAAACAGCAGTTAGAGTCCGAGTAGTTCCTAATTGCTGTGTGATCGGGATCGAGTGATAAAGGAGGCAGTCAAAAGGTAGAGCACAAATTAAAGGTAGACCATAGGTACCTCTTTACCTCATACTTATGTTACCCCATAAAGGTCAGATGTACCGTGTACATCGTTAGTGGAGGTTTTCCTTTAAGAATTTTTGGCAGTCAATATAATAATAAATTCAAAGTTAGTGACTAAAAACTATATACAAAAGGTAAACCTACTACAACTGAATCAATACAAAATGCCGCTGGCAATTCAGTTCCGTAATGCACCACTAGATTAGTATTCGTGACCAGAGACCACACGGCACCGCCAATAAAAATGAAATATCGCACCTATTTAGATACGGTACCATTTAATTCAATGCTGGCGAATGAAATACTGCTCGCTGTATAGTGACCTGACTTCATTTTGTCACCACATCTACTCTTCCCGCGGGGGTCGTGAGTACCGAACTGGCGACTTTAGAAGCCTTAGTACGAGTTTATTTTATATCTAAAGTAATCGAAAAGAGACCACGTTCGGCGCGCTGATTGGTCGGCTTTAAAGAACCAACCTAACAGAGCGCCGAATGCAGTCTCCGGTGACCGTTCTCCACTAACTCCATTATAGACATTATTTCAGATGATTAGATACTACTTTTGTGTAAACATATTTTGGGGACAGTATATCAACGTATTAGATATAAAACAAACTCTAAGCTCATACTCGCCTTAGAGCAGGGTAGGGTTGGGCTCGCTGCCATCGCAGCGGTAAGTCCCCTCTTTGAGGAGTGGCTTGAGAGACGCTACGGCGTCCTCACCTACCGCCTGACGCAGGTCCTCACCGGATATGGAAGTTTCGGGAGGTACCTGTGTCTGATGGGGCGGGAGGAAACGCCCGGGTGTCATCACTGCGAGGACCGCCCTGAGGACACGGTGGAACACACGGTGGGAGAATGCCCTTCGTGGGCTGAGCACCGCCGTGTCCTCAGGGAAGTGATCGGCGATGGCGACCTCTCGCGTCCGGGCCTAGTGCGGGCCATGATGCGGAGCGAGGGGGATTGGGATGCCGTCTCCTCCTTTTGCGAAGCAGTCATGCTAGCTAAGGAGGAGGCGGGACGCGTGAGGCAGCGAAGCGCTGCCTCCTCGCAACCCAGCCATCGCGAAGGACACACCGGGCGTCGGGGATCGCGGGACGATCTCCGGCCACCGTAAGCGCGGGCCTGCGGACGGCGAGCACGGGTGGCTCCCCGTCCGACCAGAAACAGACCCGAGCGTACGGCGCGTCGCGTTCCGCGCGCGCCTCAAAGAGCCATCAGACCACCACAGATGGGGCCCAATAGGGCCGATGCCGATTCGGAGTCGCGGAGAACCTAACGGGTAACCGGGGCTCCGGCTCGACGTGCAGGAGAAGGAACGGGGTGGTTTTTAGTCAGTAAGAGTCTGACACTCCCTCCCGCCTCACCCAGGCGGGAGCAGTCATTCGATGATTTTCCCCCCTTAAAAAAAAAAATAATAAAAAAAAAAGAGCAGGGTAGGGCTTTCTGATAAACCTGGCCCTTTTATACTGGTACCCCCAACACGCCAGGGCATCTTTAATACAGAATATTTAAGGGTCAAAGTCGAAGAGTAGAGTCTCCAGGGTTGTTGGTATTTGATAATGAACTAAAATATTGAAATAAATAAATATTCAGAACAGTAAGTGCTTATAAAATCACAATATCGTATATGATAATAGTAACTAGAATGCATTTTGTTCTGTGCATTACTTACCTAATGCATTTACATAATCTGACATTCGAGGAATGAATGCAATCTTGGCGCAACTAGGAAGGCTTCTTAACATACCTAGTTGATATGATATTTTATCATGTTTTAGCTAAAATATTCAATACAATCTTACACTTTTTAGTTACTTGCTTTCAACTGCAGCATTCATCATCGGTCATATGAAAAAAGTAAACTATAACACTGTGTATAACTTGCTATCTACAGATATTTTTTTTTAAGGGTGGAAAATCATCGTATGGCTGCATACATACTACTCCTGCATTTCCAGCCGGAGCCCCGGTAACCCGTTAAGTTCTCCGCGGCTCTGTATCGGCATCAGGCCTATAGGGCCCCATCCGTGGTGGTCTGATTGAGGTACGCGCGGAACGCGACGCGCCGCACGCTCGGGTCTGGTTCTGGGTCGAGCGGCGGCTACCCTTGCTCATGCATGCAGGGCGGTCCTCGCAGTGATGACATTCGGGCGTTTCCCCCGCCCTATCAGACACAGGTACCTCCCGAAACTCCCATGTCCGGTGAGGACCTGCGTCAGGCGGTAGGTGAGGACGCCGTAGCGTGTCCCGAGCCACTCCTCAAAGAGTGGATTTACCGCTGAAATGGCAGCGAGCCCAATCTACAGATATAATAAAAAAACACAAATTACAGACGAATTGAGACCTTTCTCCTTTTTTGGGAAACACACAAACATAATTATTTTCTCATTTATGTTATGATATTCGTAAGGAATGAACGGAAGGATTAAGGATTAGTATCTACATAACTACGGATTGATGTTACATCTCTCGAATGTGTAACTGGGATTTCTACTGCTGGTGTATTTCGTTTGTTGATATAATCGTACACCTACCTAAGATTATGTAACTGAAATTTATTTGACGTCCTACTTATTTGTTAAAATAAGTTCCGTGAGACATTAGTAAAATCGAAAGCGAAGAGCCGTTAGTTACCCTTTCATCGAACTGGGAATAAAACCTGAAACCTCTTGTTCCACTAGTTTAGCATTATACAAAGTCAAAATCATATAAGTAATTCAATTAGGCCAGGAAGTCACTTTTGAATGTCAATAAAACGATGAAACTGAAGCTATTTGCTCATTCTAAGTCGTAGATTCCTATGGAGAAGAACAAGCAAGAAACTCCATAGGTTGTATTATGTAGAGATAGATAACTAATTAACATTATTTTTGGCAATTAAACAGCGTTTAATACGTTTAGTTAATGACTCACTGAAACGAATGCGATTCTCAAAGGGAATTTTTAGAACCAATAAAATTGTTCAGCAGTAAAAATGGTATGAAATCGTTCTTAGCTCCCAAAGCTCAGTAAGCCCCGTTACACTGCTTCGGCTCAGGTGCAAGAATCTTTTATACGGGATACGGGATACGTTGCTTGAATACCGTTTGTGATTCGAATAAGAAAGATGGCGTCAGTAAAATGTAGGTTTGGATACCTTTGTAGTACCTATGTATGTGAACGGTTCATGAAGTGTATGGGCGATTAAAGTGGAATTTTGTTACGAGTTTTATTCTTTCACTTCATTAACCGATTAAGACTGAGTTATAGTTGAAAATAATACCTACATTAGATAAAACCTATTATTGTATTTTTGACAAAATCATGACTGATAATAAAATCAAACATTCTACAACAGACAGTTAATAATAAATGTACTAGGTACTAGATAGTGAGGTTCGGTAATTGGTGGGTATTACCTATTTGCCGGTAATGCAGTGGAACAATAAATTTTATTACAGCTGCATGCTGCCTGCCATGTTGTAGGTATTTTCATGAGGTCATTGGCATACTGCTATGCGGTTGGAAACCAGTGTATTGTTCCCAATACCAAAGAGTTCTGCGAATAAAAAAGTTCTAACGCCATTAGCGCGAAATGTGTAGGTGCTGTTCCTGGCAGGTAGCAAATATTTGAATTTAGAACAGTTTATTGCCGAAAAACAGATTAAACTGTCAAATACCAAGCGGTCACCGGTGACCGCAACCTATTGTTCTATAATTGTGTCTACAAAACCGGTACTCGACGAGTTAAAAAGAAAATGATTTCTTTTTTATCTGTCTTTAGTCTTTTGGTCTTATTAATTTATTATTGACGTTTGTACACGTAATAGGAGATTGATAACGACAAATATTACAATATTTTTGTTTTTCAAAACGTCTGTAGCAATGTATGAACACAAAACAAGAGGCAATAACGTGTCCGTTCCACATATGAGACTAATAACATTAACGTGTCGAAATGAGCGACATACATTCACATAAATATTTCATATCTGTGTCTACATTGCCTACTATGTTATTACCTACGTGATTACTCAAAAAATAGGTCATGTCTTCAAAAAGGTAGGTTGGCTAGGAACATAAATTTTGTAGGTTGCCTCTGGACTGCAGTATGCCAAGAGGAGTTGCCAGACGTTTCGCTGGAATCGTCCAATCAACGTTTACGAGTTGTTGTAAAACTGTCGATATGTAGTAAGTAAGTATTTTATTTTAAAGAAATAGTTGGAGGATTATTTAGCATTTGTAATAGCTTCTACCTAATGAAATCAACAGATAAAACATGAGAATAGTGTAATTAA